AAGGCCCCAAGCACGGCCCAGGATGCCAATCAAAACATGCCTAGGCAGGCATACATACATACATACATACATACATACATACATACATACATACATACATGCATGCATGCATGCATGCATACACACACACACACACACATACATACATACATACATACATACATACATACATACGTACGTACATACATACATGTCATACATGTCATACATGTCATACATACATACATACGTACGTGCATGCATGTATACAGACAGACAGGCAGACATACATACACACACCATACACACATATACACACACACCTATCTACATACATACATACATACATGCATACATACATACATGCATGCATGCATGCATACATGCATGCATGCATGCATGCATACATACATACATACACACATACATGCATGCATGCATGCATGCATGCATGCATGCATGCATGCATGCATACTACATACATACATACTACATACATGCACATATACATACATACATGCATACATACATACAGACCACAGACAACACACATACATACACACATAATACAGACAGACAGACAGACAGACAGACAGACAGACAGACAGACAGACATACATGCATACACGCATACATGCATACATGCATACATGCATACATGCATACATGCATACATACATACATGCATACATGCATACATGCATACATGCATACATGCATACATGCATACATGCATACATGCATGCATGCATACATGCATACATGCATACATGCATACATGCATACATGCATACATGCATACATGCATGCATGCAGGCATACATACGTACGTACATACATACATACATACATACAGACATACATGCGTACAGACAGACAGACAGACAGACAGGCAAACAAACAGACATGCAGACATACAGACATACATGCATATATGCACACACACCTTGCATTACATGATCTTACAGTACCTTATATTACATGGCGTTACATCACATTGTGTTGCATTCCATTGCACTACATGACCTTACATTACATGCACACATACATGCACACATTCATACATACATGCATACATACATGCATGCAAACATACATACATAGATACATACATATATACATGTATATATGCATACACACATACATACATACATACATGCATACATACATACATACATGCATGCATGCATGCATGCATGCATGCATGCACATACACACTCATACATTACCTTGCATGCATGCATGCATACCTACCTACAGACCCACCTACCGACCAGCCTACCTACCTACCTACATGCATACATGATTGCATGAATGCATGCATACATAAATGAAAACATGCATGCATACATACAGAAGTACATGCATACATACATACATACATACAGACACACACGCACACGTACATACATGCATACATACATACATGCATGCATGCATGCATGCATGCATGCATGCATGCATACATACATACATACATACATACATACATATATGCATACATGCATGAATGCATGCATGCATACAGACATACATACGAGAGAGCGTGATCCACAGCCGCTTTACTGTGGAAAATTCCCCCCCTTTCCTCCGGAACACGGGGGTCCCCCCCCTTTCCCCCCAGCCAAACCCCCCCCTCCCCTACCCCCCCCCTACGGAAAAAGCCAGGGACGGTCACTACCGGTTCGAACCCCACCCCATCCCTCTGGAAAACCAGAGGGGGGTCACTACCGGTTCGAACCTCTCCCCCCCCCCTCCAGAAAACCAGGGGGGGGCACTACCGGTTCGAACCCCTCCCCCCCCCCCAGAAAACCAGAAGGGGGTCACTACCGGTTCGAACCCCTCCCCCCCCCCTCCAGAAAACCGGAGGGGGGTCACTTCAAGTTCGAGCCACCCCCCCTCCCTCGAAAACCGGGGGGGGTCACTACCGGTTCGAACCCCTTCCCCCCCCCCCACGCTCACCGCCAGCAAGCGACTCCTGGGTCCCTACCACCGTCCGCACTGACATCCCCCACTGCTGTCCCCAGCACCACTGTCCTCACCACCAGTCCCCACTGTTCCCACCATGCATGCATGCATGCATGCATACATACATACATAAATACGTACATGCATGCATACAGACAGATCTACCGACCTACCTACCGACCTACCTACCGACCTACCTACGTACCTGCCTACCTACCTACCGACCTACCCACCTACCTACCTACATACATACATGCATACATACACACATACATACAGGCATGCATGCATACATTCACACGCGCGCGAACACACGCACATCGATCGTCATGCATGCGCGAATGAACCTGATCACACGTATGTTGAAGATGTATGAACCACAATACATCTGCCACGGTGCCGTGGGCACTGAGTGCAGTGTCGTCAAGTCCCTTCGAATTCGATGTGTGATTGTCCGAAGTACTATGTGAGGTCTCTGGGAATTGTTCACGCGCTCGCGGACGCTCCAGACCGATTCACCCTAACCCCGTGAATTTCCTGAAGGCCTTGAGAG